CAGGACATCCTTGCTCTCTGCAGGGCTGTGAGAGCGTTTCTGCCACGCAGAGCCTGGGGCAGTTTGGTGCAGTTCTGCCGCAGAAGGGGCTGGAGGGAGAAGGCTCCAGAGCAGTGCTAACCTGGGTGTGCCCGATGCCATCCACATTCCCTCTGGACACCTCCAGGGCCCTCGACCCTGGCAGTGGTGAGCCCCTGTAAGATATCCTGATCCATGGGGAAAAAACAACCGACCTGGCAAACACACAGGATTATGGTGCTGATTTCCCCATTCCAGGAGCATTGCAACACTAATCCTGTAATTCAGTGCAAAGTGGTGCAAAACATGATGATCGCTTTAATGTCTCGGCGCTTGCCTGAGATTTCATGGGGTTGCTCTTCTGGCACCACAGGAAAGAAAGTGCTGGAGGAAACCTTTTCCAGACCCCAATCCTCTTGTTCCTCTCTCAGAAAGACATGTGCAAAAATGTATTATATATATGGCTTTGATTCCACGCTGAGCCCCTTCCGAGTGAGGAGCTGGCAGCCAGGGGTCATGTGGTGAGTGGGTGATGGGACAGGCGTTATTTATAACAGGTGTCAGGCGATACTTTGTCATCGATATCTTACCCGGCAGTGCCAGCAGCAGCAGCACTAGTGAGGGGTCTCTCCATATTCCAATCTCTGTTTTCCAGGAGTGGGTTTGGTAACAGCATGCACCGAACCTGGCATCCTTGTTGCACATGGAAATTTCACTCATTTATTTCAGCTGACTGGCAGGACCCGGTTCCCTCTGTACCACTCTGCATCCCAAATCATGCTAATCACCCATCTCCGTGCCACTTGATGCCCATGACCAGGGCTGCATCTAAGGACAGGATCTTCTCCTGCACAGATCTTTGTACACAGACATGGCCAAATCACACACCCTGTGCAGGCTCTGGAGGTCCCCACGGGCTCTCCTTGCCCACACATTGTTGTATGCATGCAGGTGCTCACCACCATCACCAGGACTCTTCCCAGGCAAATGGGTAAGGGGCTGGAAAGCCACAGCCAGGTCCTGTGCTTATTATCTCCAACTTTGTCTTTCTCATGCACCTCCCACTATCTACACAGGAAGAAGTTTTGGCAAATGTAATAAAGACAAGGTGAAGTTTTACATAAAATATTCTCTCCTGCTATGAGTCCTGAGGAATTTTAATCAGTCCAGGAGTACCAGCAGAATTCCTTTGCCTGCAATCTTTTCATGATCTTGCTTTCCCCTCTTGTTCCTCGTGGGGAGCATTTGCTGAGAAGATGATTAAATTGGGCTGGTAAAAAGCTCGTCGGCTCCATAGCTTCCATCTTTTCCTGCTTCTTTGCAAGAACATTTGTACTTTTTTCTGGCCTGCGGCATGCAAGGTCAGCTGCTTTCTTTGCAGTTTTCTTGTACGTTTCCTCACCATTGTTGTGGGGTTTTTCCCCCTCCAGAGAATCTCTTTTGTGCAGAGGCGAGAGACAAGGCTCCTAGCTCAGCCTGCTGTGTTGTTGTTCGCCTGAAGTCCAGCAAGAATTCAAGGAATGGTTCCCCACGTCTCCTATTCACCTTGCTCCTGCCAGTGGCAAGGGGTCGGGCAGGGGGCGGATATTTTGGGGAAGCTGTGAGCAAGGAGTGCAGACTCAGGGGCTGATGTGAGCTCAGGGATTTTGGAGGGCTGAAACTCATCTGCTGTTGCCTGCCAGTAGTTCAGTGTAGGAATTTGGGCATTTTCCTTTGAACAAATGATTCACCAGTAATCATTTAATCAGCTCTCCTGATGTTTGAATAATCTGTGAGTAATTTAGTCAGATGTTTGCCACAGAGTATCAAACAAATGGTTTGGAAAGACACTGGCTCAGACTCTCACCTCGTATATGCTCAGCTTTGGGGTAAACCAGGCCAGTGCTGTCCCCTGCGCTTTGGCCTCAGGTGTCCAAGAGATTCACAGCTGGCCAGGACCAGCCCCAAACTGGCCAGGTCAGGATGTGACCATGGCTCAGCTGTACTGTATTTCTGCCACGCAGCTGTGGAGCATCTGCTCTCCTGCCTGGGGTACCACAGCTGCTGGAGGCTGGGGGTGGCGTGCAGTGCCCCAGAGTGGCATTTCTGGTGATAAGTGTCCTGGCTGGACACCAGTGCACAGCCTTGTGAGGAGCCCCTTGCTCTCTCTGAGTGGCTCCCTCTGGGTGCTGTGGATGGGGAAAGCAGCCCAGGGTGATGGACTGATGCTGGCTCATAAGCTAATGGAGAATAATTTCCCCAGGTTCAGCTCCCTGCCTGGACCTATTAAAGCTCCAGTATCTTTCCATTCCTGTCCCCACAAAACCACCTGCTCTCCTGACACACTTCCCAATGGCATCAGAGAGCTGCTGCTCCTCTCAGAGCTTTGACTCCTTCTTTTGCAGCTCTGATCCTGGCTGACAGCAGGGAGGGGTGGAGAGAGAGAATGAGGGTTGGCATTTTTTTCCCTTTTCTTCCATTTTGTGACTACTTCAATCCAATCCCGACTTTCTGGGCAGGAGGGTCACTCCCCAGCTTTGCTGCATCCTGTTGAAAAGCCTTGGAGACATCTGCTTTTGCCTGTAGTTTTCCCTCCTGGTTTTTTTTTTTTTCTGTCTCTTTTTTATTTTTTTTTTCTCCTAGGACCTGCTGTCACAGATTCCCCCAGAGTCCCAACATGCTAGTTATTCTTCATGGATAAAACCACTAACAATAATAATTTATTGTGCACTTTCATCTGAGACAAAACATCATTATTTCCATCCAATTAATAGTGTCTTTTAGCAGCATCAGTGAAAAACCAGAAAAAACCTGGCTCCCACCCAGCCCCCTTCCTCTGCCTGTGTGACATTGTCTCCACAACTGCAAAGAGAGGTGGTAGCTTTGATTTGATCAACACTTATCTAGTTAAAACAAAAGAGAACTACTTTTGTAGGCTTGCCCAAATATTAGGTTTTTGGGTTTTTCTTTAACAGGAAGATCGGGAAGAGAGCTCTGCTGTTTTGTTACTACTGTTGTTTTCTTCAAACCAGGAGAAGTCCTGGGATGCCAGGGAAAGTGGGAACCTGCCAATGGGAGTATTTCTCCCAAGTCTCTCTGCAGAGTTTTCTCGCATGTGTTGTTTCCTGAGTCACGGGGATTTGAGCTGGGAACGCTCAGATATCTGGAAGCTGGAACAGCCCTTACTGCCGACCTGAATGCTGATGTCCAGGGAGCAGCACCCCTGCCACAGTCACTAGGCTGGAGATAAGGGCAGAGGATGTGCATAATGGGATTCTGGGCTCTGCAGGGCTCCCCAAAATCGCCTGTGGGCACTGCTCCCTGTGCCTTGCTGGCAGCTGGCCCCTGGCAGGGAGCAGGCTGTTTCTTCATGGGCATTTGTCTTTTCCAGGCTGGGAAAACAGAGGTATTTTTCTGCACGCTGGCAGCCAAGTGGGGGATGTGGCTGGGGAAGGCTATTTCCCCCAGGCCTCTTGCTCCATGGCATCCCCCAGCCAGTGCCACCAGGGTGCCAGTCGGCCTCTCCCCAGACCCTCCCCACAAGGTGTTTGCCTTTGCCTGGGCAGCTGGCAGGAGGCAGGGGTGGATGACCTGCAAGGGTGCCTTTCCCTCGGCCTCCTGCCCACCCTGCCCTTCCTTGCCCCGAGGCCGCTTGGCTGTCCTTGCTCACCCTCCCCATTGGCTCCTGCCTGCTTGGCCTCGCTGCTGCTTTAATTTTAGCAATTCCTTGGAAAGAGTCATTTTCCATAACTCAGCTCTCAGCAGAGCCCTCTGCCTGCCAGCTCTGCCTTCTCACACGTGTTGCTGGCGTGCCCCAGCAGCACACGCCTGCACCTGCCCGGCCAGGCCTGCCTGTCCCAGCCCTTTGCACACCAAATCCTCACACCCGGCTCCCGGCCCCGCTTGGCACATCTCAGCCTGGCACTCCCAGTCCTCTGGTGCTGTGGCTGGAGTGGCCAACCTGGCCCAGCTGCATGGCCACCCCGGGGGCTCCCCCCTCACCAGGAGTAACTGGGCACAGCACAGGGTGACATCTGTCCTCTTTGCCCTGCAGACCCCACCCACACGTGTGACAGCTCTCTGTCCTTATCTGTGATGGGAAATGCCATGTTCCCACATGCTGCAGGGGACCTCATAGGCTGGGGTTGTGATGGATGAGCAGGGTGGGCTTGTTCAGCACCCAGCAGCAGCTTTTATTGCAGTGGGGAAGGTGGGTGCAGGTGTGGCTGTGCAAGAGGAGCACAGCCCACACGTGTGGTGGGTGTTTGGTTGTGCAGTGTGTGTGAGAGGGGTGAGAGGCTTTCATGACAGTGAGCCTCTTCCTGTGGGCATTGCTGGGCACTCCAGGAGGGTGTTGGTGCGAGGGAGCACAGCACTCACGAGTGGGGCGTGTGCGAGGATGCGCACGGAGATGGAAGCGTGGCTCCTTCTCTTGGGTCCGCATCTCGTGCTGGAGGGAAGGGACAGTGCATGTGGAGGGTGCATTGTGCATGACCCTGTGTGTGGGTATGTGTGTGATTGTGTGTGTGTGTGTGATTGTGTGTGTGTGATTGTGTGTGTGCGCACAGGGCACGTGTGAGGTGACCACGACCCTGCTGCTTCCACTCTGGGGAGGTGGGGGGACTTGCAGGGACTGCTGCTGGTGATATGTGTGTGTGTCTGTGTGTGTGGGGGGGGGGAGGGGGGGGCGCCGTCCCCACGGTGCTTCCACGAGTGTGGATTTGCGCGGGGGTCGGTGGTGCGCGCGTGTGTGTGCGGTGCCTCCCTCCGGCTCAGCATCCGTGGGGAGGGAGGCGGCGGCGGCGTGTCCGCAGGGGCGTGGACCAGTGTGTGGCCGTGGGGGGTGCGTGTGTGGGTGTGCGTGTTTGTGATCCTGTGTGTGTGTGTGTGTGTGTGTGTTTGCGGGCGGGTGCGCGCGGCGCGGCGGGGCCGGGAGCGCGTCCCCGGCGCTGTGCCGGGGGGTGCGGGCTGAGCTCATCGCTGGCTCCCCGGCGCTCCTTACCAGTGGCTTCTGCGGTCACATGGGTTATGTGCTGGAGTTTAAAAGAGCTTATAGCCCCCGAGCCGGTGCAGAAGCAGCCGGTGGTTGCATGGGGTAGCGCCGGGAGCGGCGGCAAGGAAGGCGCCGTGAGTAGCGGGCGGCCGGGGCCGGAGGGCGGCACGGGATGTACCCCCACCCGCGGGACGGGGGAGGCGGCCTGCGGGCACGGGGGTCAGCGCAGGCGAGCCGCGGGGCCCGCCGCCCAGGGAGGCGGAAAGGAAGGTGGGGGGAACGCTTTCTTCCCCCGCATTGGCTCCCGGTCTTGTGCTCCGTCCCTCCCGCCCCGCAGCCGCGCACCTTTCCAGCGCCCGCGTGTGTCCGCGCCCCGACGTGGGCCGCGCGTCCGCCCCCCCGTGAGGAACCAATTTGGGCAGCTCAATACTTTCCTGCCCCGCCGGGCGCGTGTTCCCGGCGGGGAGGGATGGGGGGCGAGGGGCCGGAGCGTCCCCGCACCCTCCGAGACAGCGGGTCCGCATCGGGGCGCGGCGGTGGCACCCCCGTCCCCTGCCGGCGGGACCTCCGTCCCCTCCCGGCCGGGAGGGCATCGCGGCCGGCACCAGGTTGAGGGCTGCGAGGGATGAGCTCTCCCTGCGGCAGTGCGCGGGGCTGGAGCGGCTGGGACTGCGGGGCGGCTCTTTGTAAACCGGAGCCCGTGGATTTCCTGGGCGGGAGAGCAGGCTGCTTCTCCGTCTCTCCAAAGGCGCAACCTGCCTTCTTCTCTGCTGTGGCAGTGCAGATTTTATTTTTTCTTTTCTATTTTTTTAAATTTTTTTTTCCCGATGTGTGATTTTTTTATAAGAAAAGTGTCTGCATGGTGCTTCTGGGGAACTGCTCTCCCTGGGCTAGGCAGACAGTTCATCCCGAGCGTGAGTACAAGGGCTGCTTTCCAGAATTGCATAATACACACCGATCCCTATGCTGCTCAAAACTCCCTGACATTTCCACATCTTGGTGACTTCCCCCACTGCAATCCTGAAAACGAGTTGTGACTCCAGTCAGCTCGTGAGCCAATTTGTGGTGTCTCCACTGAGGACAGAACCAGGTCTGCATGTTCCAGGTTCCCTGGCTCCTCTGGCAGTTGTTTCCTTAACCCGTAAACTTTTTTTGGTGTAACGATCGGCACTTTTTTACTCTCTTACGTTCCCTACCCCAAACTTACGGACACATGTCCAGGTCTGTTCAGAGCACAGGTTACAGAGAGGGGATTGCCTGCAAAGCCGTTCAATTTCTTTTCCCCACCCTTTGTGTTTTACTCTGTGGGATGATTGAGGAGGTCCTTTCCTCGGATTGCTTTTTGGTCGGGAACTTGCTGACATCTCCTCAAATTTAGCGAATTTCACTGGCTGTGCCCACTCTCAGCACACCGCGCTGTGTACTCGTGTGAGGGACAGGACCTGCACACGCTGCTGCCAGTCCCACTGGCTGTGTGTTCAGGCAGTGAGGCTCTGACATTGGCTGCTTTCTGCAAAATGTGCAAATATTTGGGAGCAGCCGATCTTGCTCCCGGATCCCTGCCTTGCCCCTATCCGTGAGGAGTTAGAGCTTTGCTGTGATGTGTGGAGATGTGCAAGGGATGCTCGTGTCTGGCCGGGCAGCATGCTGACACCAGGTGCTGGGACCAGAACTCTGTGGGGTTCACTGCACTAGGAGGACTTTCCCAAGACAGGCTGAGCTTTAGAAATGAGAGCCTCATGCCTGCCAGCCTTCCTTGCGACAGCTCCTCAAGATAAGTTTATCAGAGCCTCTTGTCAGAGCAAGCCAAGCCATGATCTAATGATCGTACATTATCTTTGGTCTAATTTACCCCAAGAGGACCCCATTGTGCCAGGACTCTGCATCCCCTTTCCCCTGAAAAGTGCTCAGCAGCTTCTGGACTTGGGAAAAGCCCTGATGGCTCTCAGAGCCACAAAGCTTGTGATGCACACACACATTCAAATAACTGTGCAGCCAAGGCTTAGCTTTTGGGGACGTGACTGACTCTCTGAAGCTGGCAGCACGAGTTTTGTGGGTGCAAGCCCCAGCTCCTGGCCACTCTCATTTAATTCCCTGCAAGCTGGAGACACGCATCCTGCTCCAGCTCAGTCTGGGGCTGGGTGTGCGCCTGGGGAGCCTGTCTCTCAGCTCTGTCGTTTATTATTGCTGCCGCTGCCATTATGCCTGACAAATGAGAGTTGCTGAGTAATGTGCTGTTTGTGTGTAAATATCTGAGTGCTCGCAGCTGAGCTCACTCCTGCCACTTTGCAGGAAGCCATCTCAGCACCTTTCCCCTGTGAAGACCCGGGAGTGCACAGCGTCCTTCTGCGGGGACCTCCCCACCGCCAGCTCTAGCCTCCGCTCGCCTCTGCTTCCCTGCAAGCGTGAAGCCTCCATCCTCTCCGGCTATCGTGGCAGCCCTTCTGCTTTCCTGAGTGTGAGTCAAAGGTGGGAAAGGGCTGTGTGTGTGTGTGTGTGTGTGTCTGTGTGTGTGTTTCTCTGTGTGTGTGTGTGTGTGTGCACAGTTGCTCCCGAGGGTCCGTGTCCGAGGCAGAGTGAGTTTTGGGGACTTTGAGTGTTTTGATGGAGACAGTCATGCATAACTAGGAAAGGAGTTTTTTGGTTTGGTTTAGGTTTTTTTTCCCCTGCCTGCTCAGCCCCGAATTCCCCCTCATTTCATCCCAGTACTGATGAAGATGCTAAATTGCTCCTTCCCCTATTGTTTTCATCCCATTTGCAGATTAGCATCCAACTGCTTCTTGCAGTCAGTACTTGCTCAGCCCAGCTAGGCTGATCGCAGCTTTTTTAATCTCCCCTTGTAAATCAATCCCTTCTGCCTCCTGATAATTTTTGTCGCTCATTTTTCTGAAATCCCTCCAATTTGTCCATTTTGTGTCGGTGACGTATGCCTGGCCCTAAACATGATGTATACCAGGCATGGCAGCGTGAGGGAAGGACACCTCCTCCCCTCCCACCCCGCTGGGGCTTGTGATGCTTTGTCAGCACTGAACTGAGTTACTTCCCCATTATTCTAAGCTATAGTCCCTGCTCGGTGTTGCAGAAGAAAGCAGCATACTCAGGTCAGTGCCCTGGGGAGAATTCCTCCAAATTTTGGTGATGGGTTACTGAGGTTTGGTTGCATGCTGGTAGCAGATGCTGGAAGGGGCCGGTGGTCTAGGTGTATTCCTGGGGTGCCTCTTCCCACAAGAACTAATAGCTGAACAGGAGGGGCGAGGAAAATAAGAGAGGGCAAGATGGGCAGATGGGGAAACTGAGGCACGTGTATGCACATTTCCTGTGCATCTTTCCAGCTCTTATTTAGGTGCTCTGTGTGTGGGGTGTGGTTGCACTTGTTAGTGTTGCAGCTGGCATGGGCATTTTCTGAGGAGATGCTGGGTGTTTGGTCAGAGCAGGCTGGCACACTGGGATGCTGGGCTCTGGGCTGATTTTGTTCATTGCTTCTCGTGCTCGTAGCCAGAGCCTGATGCCACAGGTGCTCTCATGGGGAAGAAGCAGGGTAACAAAGTGCCTTGCATTCACGCACTTTGAAGTTTTATCATGCCAAACCCTGAGCTCCTAGGACTGAGCATTCCCATTCCCTGGAAGGGCCGTGCCCTTCCAGGATCTGTCTATTTTTAGGAGGAGTTGTATTCTGGACAGTGTCCACTGCAGATGCTCCCTGCCTCCTCCTCTTGGCGCTCCTCCAGGGACACCGTTTGGGCTCTCTGCTGGAGGGGCCGCTCTTGCCGGGGCTCCTCCAGGGCAGAGCAGAGCCGAGCGGATGTGGGACCGTGGGGATGCCCGCTGGGCTGTGGTACCCCGGGGTGCTGGGGAGGGACGGTGAGCTCACGCTGTCCCTTGCATGAACTGCTGGGAATTCGCCGTGCTCCAGGAGCCAGCAGCACACGGTGGCTTCCGCACGGCGTGGCCAAGCAGGGGTGCTGCTGCTGCCTGCGCCAGGTGGTACCCGGCGCTCGGCGGTGCCCGGCGCCGGCCCGTTCGCCAGGATGACACTAGGGGGCACGAGATCTGCTGGAATTCCTTTGTTGGGGATGGGAAAGGAGGCTGCGAAGCTGCTCCTGACCCTTCGAGCCCCGTGCATCATTCCCCCGCGCGTTTTGTGGGAATTACGAGTGTTAAACCCCACGAGCTGTCCCGGTAACTCCTCCTGCCGCCAGGGCAGGACGCGGCTCTCCGGAGGCTGCTCCGCTGGCTCTGCCCGTCCCTGGCCGTGGGAGCAGCAGGACAGGGATGGAAGCGGTCAGCCGGAAACATCTCCGAAGCAAGGAGGTGGTGGATGCAGCCGGAGTGCCAGGGAATCTCCGGGGAATGTGGGAAATCCAGGAAAACACCTTAGCATGGTTTTAATGCCTCTCTAGAGGCGTTGTCCAGAGCAGGGATTAAGTTAGATTCAGGGCTGGCTTTCAAGATGCAGCGTGTTATGGTTTCATTTTCTGCTGGTTGTTAAATTCATGCATGATGTCTCCTCAGGGTCATGTTTTCCCAAAGCAGCAGAAACTTTAGAGAGTCTGATTTAATGAATGGTTCTGATCGACCTGAAACATGGAGAGTGTGTGTGTATATGTGTGTGTGTGTGTGTGTGTGTGTATTATATGTGTGTCCATCTACATATCTGGGTGGGGTGCAAAGAATATGTTTTTGAAGGTATGTTTATGCATTTCTGCATACATCCAGCTGTAATATTGTCCTGAGTCCTTAAAATCTATTATTCCAGCTGTGAATGCGTGTATATATATTAAAGCACTGTATACTGGAGTCTTTCTCTCTTGTTATAACAAACCTCACAGAAAGCAAATAAAGAGACATTGTTCTCATAGCAAGCTTTTAAGGGCTCAATATTTATCTTCTATGAATTTTGATAGTTTTTGTTCAGCATGTTTGCAGTTATGATGGTGGTGGGGGGGTTTGCCTATCTACTTCAGATTTTGTGCTGTTGGGAAACTGAAAACATTTGGATCGTTTCAGCTTATTCATTAGGTAATGAAAACAGAAGTCAAGCTTCTGGATTGAAATGTTGGCACCTGATATCATTCTGGCATGTTAATTTCTCAATGGTTAGGGTTTTTTCTAATGCCTTCCGTTGCCAGATACCAGGCTCCTTTGCTGGAGCCGTGCTTCTCTCGCTAGCCCCCGGGCAATATTTTTAGTAGGACACTGATGCATCGCAAACACTCCTGTACTCCGAGAAAAAGCATTGCTGGCTGTTGTTGGAAGTAGCGCCAGGATGGGTAGAAAGGAGAGATCAGAGGAGGACGGTGCTGCCGCTGCGTCGGAGCGTTCGCTTTGTGCCTGAGACGGAGGTTTTGTGTCGGGTCGTGCAGGTGCTGTGCCTGAGCGGATGTGAGGGCAATTCCCCAGCTGGCTTCTGAGGCAGGGCTGAGGAGCAGGGGTTTATTTATTTTGAAATGCCTCGTGAATTGGAAGGAGGTCCGGGAAGAAGTGCCGAGTCAACTTTCAAGTCAATTAGGGATGTGTCTGGAGGTGTGAAGTGGTTTGAAGAGGACAGGGTGATTTGTCTGAAAGTGTTACCTAATTAGAGGGTATAGTCAGGGCTCTAATTAGCCATGACACCCTAAAGATGTTATCAAAGCCCTCTTGGGGCACGGCTGATCCAGTGCCGTGGCTGTGAGCTCTCTGGTCAGCGTGGCCGCGCACGGCCGGAGCTGCCGCCCTCTGGGTCAGAGGCAGCCCTGATGCTTGAAGAGGCTCTTTTCCTTTTCAGGTGACTCGTGATACCCTCCGGGGCTGCTGCCAACGTTGAGTGATGTTCATAAAGTCACAGAATGAAAGGAAAGCCTGCAGCAGTTGGAAGAATTAATACTGGTGCCCACTATGGGAAATCTCCTCTCTTTTCCCTGGGGGGCATCACTTTCTGCTGCTCTCTGCCTGGGGGGAGGCTGGAGGAGGAGGGCTGTGAGGATTTGCATTAAGTGATGCTGTACCAACAGCTGGTGGAGGAGTCGTGACCCCTTTCTTAGCATTGGCTGACAGAGGGGACATGGGATCTGCTGAAATCTGGCTTGCCCAGACCTGGTTGCATTTAAATACTATGCAACACACCCTGTGAGGGGGAACTGGTGCAGGAAGGAAGCAGTACAAGAAGTGCTGGGTAAGAGGGAAAGGCTCCTGGGAAAGCTTTTCTCTGACATTGGAAGGATCTTGCAGCCTGCACCTCTGCGGGCCACACCTGGGTGGTGGGTGGTTGTTTCCCTTTGGAGAGCTGGGGCTGGGGGTTGCTCCCTCTGGGGCTGCTCTCACTGCCTGCTGTTCATCCATCAAAACCATTGTTCAGTCAGCCCTGTGAGGAGAGGAGAGTGGGAGCTGCCCATTCCCAGCAGTGGTGCCAAGAGCCAGTAGGAGCCACCTGAAGCCAGGCTGGTGGATGGGTGTGGAGAGCAGGGCCCATTGCCATTCTCCGCAGCAGTGAGCAAAGGAATTCTCTCCTCTCTCAGGGCTGAGGTCCCTGTGCGTGTCAGAGCCCTCTGAATTGCCAGGAGAGAGCAGTGGGTAGCTCAGACCTCCTTGGCAGGAAGGAGCTACTGTTGCCCCTGCGTCAATGGGAAATGAAATGGATCCTGGGGCTAGGATGTTCCCTGTGTGCTTCATCAGTGCTGCGAGGAGCCTGGCTCTGCAAAGGGACTCTCTTTGCTTGTGTAGGTGGAATTGCAGCCCCCCAAATGCAAACACACAGCCAGGCACACTCCCGTGCTCCCAGTTACCGAGGGATGTGCCTGCTTTTAATTATGTGGGTGTTAAGCCAGTGAATTCATTTTGTTCACAAAGTTGCAGCCTGGTATTTTCCTACTGCTCCTGGTCTCTGGTGGCATTCCCAGACTCTGGAGCACATGTGAAAATAACTTGGGGACTGGGTTTGGTAACTTGGAGGACAGTGCCACGCAGGGTTGACCCAGGCAGCTCTCCCTGAGCTGTTGCTGTGCTGTGCCAGGGCTGCAGGTGCCACGCTGGATTTTAGGGTGCTGTGTTATGGGTGGTGGATGGGGAGCTGCTCCCTGTGCTGTCACAAGCTGATCAGCACAGAAGGAGGGACCTGCACTGCTGCCCTCCTGCCTGGGGAAGCAGCCTGGGTTGGGCATCTCAGCGCCAGGCACGAAATTTGGTTATGAATTCAAACAGTGTCTTGTATAATAAAACAGCCTTATCTCTGCTTTTGCCCTAGGTACACTCTGCACCACACTCCTTTTGTCTAGGGCCTAAAAATGCTGGTGATAATGAGGACACATCCTTTTTTGTGGTTAAAGTGTGGTTCTCAGATGCAAAGGGAGGCAGCCTGTGCTAGACTTCACCACCAATGTGTGATTTACCCTCCTCTGTGCCACTGAACTGAGGGCTTGAAAAACAAATATGTTAAAAGGAAGGAAAGACAACAAAAGGCTGCTGGTGCTCTGAAATTCGATC